ATGGCAAGCAACAGCTTTCTGACAGCTGCTTGCAGGAAGAGACAGATGATGAGCATGTTTTGATTGGGGGCAGGAGTTATGGAAGAGTTCAAAGGTGGGGCAGGAGCAGAATTACCATGTGACCCGGCAGTTCTGCTTCTGGGTGTGTAGTCGAGAATTGGAAGCAGAAGCTCAAACAGATATGTGTTCCATCATGTTCCTAGTAGCCAAGGGGCAGAAGCAACACAAATACTCATTTAGATGGAGAAGTAAATAAAATGTTTCTACACATGTTAGAATAGTATTCAGCCTTGGGAGATGGCTCAGTGGCTAAAAATGCTTGCTGTGCAAACAAGAGGACATGAATTTGAATTCCCAGCACCTATTAATAGCTGAGCATGGCCACTCGTGTCTGTAACCTCAGCATGGGATATAAGGCATTAAGAGACAGGCAGATAGATCTCAGGAGTTTCCTGGCTGGGCAGCCAGCCAGCCTAGCTAAAATAGCAAGCTTCATGTTCAGGGAGAGACCCTGTCTCAAAAAATAAAGTGAGTAGCAATAGAAGACAAAACCCAGACAGAGTCTTGTGACTTCCTGGTGTGCAGGTTATGCATATCTGTGCATACTTGTGGCCATACACCATGCACATGCAAAATAATGCTCATCCTTAAGTGGGGAGGAAACGGACACAGGCTGCAGGGGATGCACCTCCAGCCCAACAAAGGTTAGAGAACAGCTGCACATATCTAAGTACCCAGCATATGGGCTTATTACTTAAAAATACAACAGAAATTCATAGAATGATACGTTCATATCTTGTTTGGGAATCAGCCTCACTTTATATACAGAACCCACAGTTGTTACAGGAGAGGAGGTAGGAGTCACTCTGACCATCTGGGTGACATTGTGGGGCAACATGTACATAGTACAGATTCATGGTGTCCTTGGCCCTGGGAAGATGACCGTGTGAGTGCAAGGTCACTGCCTCATTGTGATCTCCATTTCCTCTATGGTTTTTAAATAGATGCAGCCATTGCCTACTTCCTGGGAGTAATCACAGTTGTGTTACCCCATGTCAGAACATAGTTCTCTTTGTTGTCTCTGGGATTCTTTCAGGAAGGTGGAATTTATATCTGTGGGGCCACGGCCCCGTATTCCCTGTAGCTCCTTTTAGAATTACCATCTGAGTCACCCTGCAGGATTTTGGTTTTAGTCTAACATTTTATTTTACACACAAGCACACACATATACATACACATGTGTGTGAGTCTGGAACCTCAGAGGAAATACTTTCTGATGTACTTGGCATGCATTTATTTTTTTTATTAACAGACCATAATTATAAATATTTCCAGGATAAAATGTGGTTTTGAGGCCAGGCATTGGTGGCACACTCCTTTAATCCCAGCACTCGGGAGGCAGAGGCAGGCGGATCTCTGTGAGTTCGAGACCAGCCTGGACTACCAAGGGAGTTCCAGGACAGCCTCCAAAGCCACAGAGAAACCCTGTCTCGAAAAACCAAAAAAAAAAAAATGTGGTTTTGATTTCTGGGTCCGTTAGCATATTCATCTTCTCTTGCCTGGACTTTTGACATTGTTCCAGGGCTGGGAATTGAACCCCAGACTGTGCATATGCTAAGCAGGCTCTCTGCCACTGGGTTGTGCCTCTTGCCCCACTCTGTTACTTTGAAGTATGTGTTATTATTAACTGTAATAGTTACCTACCATGCAGAGTACATTTCAAAAGCAATTTCTCCTGACTTTGACACTTGCTGCCTTTGGTCAGCAATATTCATTTATCCCCTTCAAAGTCCCTCCTGCCTGGCATCTTCTGGAGACCATTAGATAGAGCCTTTGTTCTCTGCTTCTGTGATTTCAGCTTCATTAGAATGCACTTGGAGGCGGTGCATGTGTGTTCTGTTTTCCATGTCTGCCTTATTCCACTGATTATTACATTTTCCAGAAAATGATTCCGGCTGGGTGTTGGTGGCGCACACCTTTAATCCCAGCACTCGGGAGGCAGAGGCAGGCGGATCTCTGTGAGTTCGAGGCTGGGCTGGACCAACAGCCTCCAAAACAATACAGAGAAACCCTGTCTTGTAAAAAAAAAAATCTTTTATCTATTTCCCCTGAGTAGTTGTGATGGCTAGAATCTCCTGTACTGGTGGTTCATGCTTATAATCCTAGCACCTGGGAGACTAAGACAGGCTGTGAGTTGAAAATGAGTTCTGAGCCCATCTGAACTACATAGTAAGATTCTGTCTGTAAACATCCCCCTCCCCAAAGTATTACTGGGCTTCAGCTCTAGTTTAGGAGCAGAGCCTTGGCCTGGTATCGTGAAGTTGTAGTTTTAGTTTATTTCCCTACCCAAAGGGAGGGGAGGGGAAGAAGTGGTGAGGATGGGCCTGCTTGTCACTGACCTGTCTTGCCGTCTCCTCTTTCTACAGGTTTGCCACACATGACTTTCATTAGAGATATGTCCCCTCTTTACCTAGTCTCCTCTAGACTGTTTGCTTTGTTTTACTGTGGAAGGATGTGTTTTTTTCATCCGTTGAAATAAGTCCACTTTTATCCTTGTTTATTAATACTTTGTGTATGTTGAACTATCTTTCCATCCCAAGGATAAATTCCACTTGATCACAGTGAATTATTTCATTAGTAATCACTTCCCCTTCCTTTGCCCTTTATTTACAATATTTTGTTGAGAAAGTTGGCATTTTTGTTTACTAGTGATATTAGCTTATATTTTTCATGTAGTTCCCTAGTCTGACTTTGGCATCAGGATAATGATAACCTCAAAAAATGGTTTTGGAGGTAATCTTATGGAGGTTTGAGAATAATTAATTCATCTAACTGTTTAGTAGAATTTATGAGTTACGCTGCCTAGTCCTTTGTGTTTCTGTAGTGGGAGACATTTTATTATTGATTGACTCTCCTTGGTAGATCATGTGTGTCTGTAGCAGGCTTTCTCTTGGGCCACCAACCAGCGCCCAAATCATGACACGGAGATTTATTATTAGTTATGAATGCTCATCCTTAGCTTAGGCTTGTGTCTTGCTAGCTCTTATAAATTAACCTGTTTCTCTTCATATATGTTGTCTCAGGGCTCTTTAACCTTCCTTCTTTCCTTCCTTCCTTCCTTCCTTCCTTCCTTCCTTCCTTCCTCCCTCCCTCCCTCCCTCCCTCCCTCCCTCCCTCCCTCCCTCCCTCTCCCTCCCTCCCTCCCTCCCTCCCTCCCTCCCTTCCTTCCTTCCTTTCTTTCTGTACACTACTTTTCTGATTCTCGTGTCTGGCTGGCAGATGCCTTGCTTTTGGCACTGGGCATGTCCTCCTCTTTCTCCCTTGTTCTCTTCGTTCTACTTCTCCCTGAGCCTAGATTCCTCCTCCTGTTCCTCTTCTGCCTGCTGGCCCCACCTGTCTCTACTAACTAGCTATTGACGTCCAACTTTTTGTTAGACCAATTGGGTGCCTTAGGCAGGCAAGGTGAAATAAATTCAACACATTTTCACATAATTAAAAAATGTAACACATCTTTACATCTTTGACAAAGGCAGAAGAAACAAGGAAAAAACCTCACACAGTTAAAAAAGTAATACTCCACAGCATAAACAAATGTAACACATCTTTGCCTAGTTAAAATAATACTCTGTAATAACATGTATCTAGAAATTTATTGTTTTCTGGATTATAGGATCTGAAGCCCACTGGTGGTGTCCATAGATACTTCTTATGTGTTTGTGTGTCAGTGATATCAGCTTTTCAGGTGCCAACACCAGGGCTATTGCTTAGTGCTTAGTGCTTGCTGCACAAGCTTGGTGACCTGAGTTCATCCCCAGAACCCACTATGAAAGGAGAGACCCGACTACTCAGAGTTTGTCTCTGACCTCTACACATGTGCTTTGGACTGGAGATATGGATCATTATTGGTGCTTTTCTGGCATGTATAAGGCTCTGGGTTCCACCCCCAGCACCACAAAAAACAAAAACAACAAGATTAAAACAAACAGCAACTCCCTGAGAGATGTGGTGGTAGTGACTTGGAACTCACTGTATAGGCCAGGCTGGCCTCAGGTTCACATGTCCTCTGCCTCTGCTCCCTGCTGCTGAGTTTGGAACATTGGTTGTTAGCTACTGCGTGGGGTGCAGTGTGCTTATCAAGAATAAGCTAGTGAGTCTGCTCTAAATAAAAATGAAATTGAGTGTTCTCCTCGGTGGTAACTCCAGCTTCAGGAAATCTGATGCCCTCTTCTGGCCTCCTCAGATACCAGACACCGCCACTCATGCACAGACACACATATATACATACATACACATAGTAGTCTAGAAACCTGCCTCTCATTTATGGCTTGTCTCCAGGTGTCATACTAAGTCTCCCTCCCTGATGGTCAGCTGCAGACCTTCAGGCCACTCTCCACTGTGGCCCATTGGTGTGAATACTCAGAGAGGTCACACCATAAATACCCCAGTGTCTTAGTTTGGTTTCTATTGCTGTGACGAAACACCAAAAAAGCAAGTTGGGGGAAAAGAGTTTTATTTGGCTTACATTCCAAGACAGGAACTCAAGCACAGTAGGAACAAGGAGGCAGGAACTGATGCAGGGCCGTGAAGGGGTTCTGCTTCCTGGCTTGCTCATCATGGCTTACTCATCTTGCTTTCTTATTGAACCCAGGACCACAGCCTGGGATGGCACCAATGCAATGGGCTGGGCCCTCCCCATCAATCACTAATTAGGAAAATGCCTTACAGGCTTGTGTATAGCATGATCTTATCGAGGCATTTTCTTAATTGAGGTTCTCTCCCTCAGATGACTCTAGCTTGTGTCAAGATGACATGAAACTGTCCAGCATGCCTAGATGGGATTTAGTTTTAAAGCATGACCTCTTAGGCATCTAGCACAGTAATATATCATAAAGGCACAGCAGTAAGTTTGTAGTCCACCTGCTAGAGCAGCCCTGAGCTGGGCGCTCTCTGTACACATTGTCTTTCGAACAATCCTGGGTGACGCAGCCTTTGCTTTTCAGCGGTCCTAAGAGTAGCTGGTTCCCTGCAAAAGAGCACAGAAGTGATGAAGGCTATGCAGAGTCTTGTGAAGATCCCAGAAATCCAGGCCACCATGCGGGAGCTGTCCAAAGAGATGATGAAGGTGACTGGCTAGTTCTGCTTTCTCTCCAATCCACCGAGAGGTCTTCTGAGCTGGGCCGGGCCGGGGCCTGTGTGGGTGTGACTGGAGAGGAGTGTGGCTGCTCCACCAGTGTTATGTTATCTGGTTGAAAGCGTTGTTGTGCAAAGCATAGCAGAGGCTGGGTGAATTTGTAAGTGTGGGAAGCAGCAGCACAAGCATGCCTACATCTCCAGAGGGAACCATCCAGTGGTGGGGTCTGTGGGCTCCAGCAGGAGGGAAGCGACAAAGTGGCATTCATTTCACTGTGTGTCCTGAGGGTTAGTGAAGCCGCAAGAGGTGATTGCTAGATAACAAATACACGTTACACCGTGATGGCCATTCTTGTAACCGCTCAGCTTTGCCTGTCAGTGTAAAAGCAGCCCTGGGTAACACTTGCATGAAATGACTGTGGCCCAGATCCTTTGTTTAGGAAACCCCAGATCTGCCCTACAGTCTGTAGTTGTTTGTTGATGCCCATTTAACCACAGAGAGAGGCTGACACCAAATGGAAAGTATCTAGGTCCCTGGCACCCCCAGGATAGGGTGTGGCAGGAACTACTCTAGTGGCCCCCAGGCAGGGCCAGGGATCAGAGGAGGCCATTGTTACTGAGCCACAACTGATGGCATTTTGGCCTGTCTTGTTCTCCAGGTGCTCAGTTGGGGTATTTTACACAGTCTTGAAGCTGCTAGGCAACCCAAGGTCTCTTGGGTTATAAGTAAGGCTTGAGCTGGACCACAGATGTGTCTGCCCTCATCATCTGAGCTGACAGCTTGCGTGAGTGCTGTTTCTTAGTTGAGACCTGTGGTCTGACAACCAAGAGTATACAACTCAAATTCCTGTGTGGATCTCCTCCTGCCTCCCAGAGTGTTGTCTGTGAACGTGCCATACACTGGGCACTGGGGACAAAGCGGGTGTGGAGGGCTGAGAAGAACAGATAGGAAAATATCATTAAAAGCCCAGGGCCCACCTCTTTAGAAGAAAATGCTTGGGCAATAGCAACAGGGAATGAATGGATCAGGAGGGGTGTATTCTTTATATCTGGTATGCACTCAGGCTGGAGATCACTATATATTAATTCCTAGAGTGACTCCAAGCCTGCACGTTTTAACTTAGGTAGCCACCAAAGTATGAGTGAATGAGTTACTAAGACAAAAACAAAATTCTAAGGTTTTGAGCTTATGGTTTATGAACACTAAAAGTATAGTTTGAAGGAAGCTTTTATATTGTAGGTTCTAAGTACTGAGTGCTAATAGTGATCAGGTGAATATCAAAGCTGTCCAAGGTGATTCAACTCTGAAAGAGCAGGGATGTGTTCTTAGACTTTGCGTTTGTCCTCAGTGCCTGGCTCTGTTGCATAGGCCAGGAATTTAATGAATAAATAGATAAATGATAATCTGTCTCCAGAATGAGGAGGACTGTTAGTTTGGATTCTCTTAAGTTCTTTTAACCAATCAATAATTATTGAGTTTTTGCTTTTACTTAGTCTGTGGGGTTTTGTTTTGTTTGAGACAGGCTACAATCCTCCCAAGGGCTGAGTATTGACCAGTAGACTCCAGCATTCCAATTAGCTAGGCTGTAGGGCTCCACCTTGGTGACCATGACATGAGACTGCTCATTTGGGTAGGGAAAGTGGCTAAAATCGGGCTAGGCACTAGCTAGATTCTTGTCACGGAGAGTTACTTTGGGTCACAAAGCACAAAGACAAGATGAGTGGGTTACTGGGACAGGAGCAGAGGCCAAAGCCGCCACTGCCACCTGCTCCAGGCTCTGCAAAGAAGCAATGCCTCTGGGTTTGCAAGGGTCCTAGGGTTCCCTTCTGGCTGCTTGTTTGGGACCCCTTTCTGACATGGGAGGGTGCTTTTTGACCCTTTGCTCTGCTAACACTGAGTGACCCCATCTGGAGCTGGGGACACTGCTAAGCAGGACAATTGCAGACCTTTTTGTTTGTGCCTCACAATGGTCCCTTGCTATTTTCTTTTAAAGTGTGTGTATGCATACATGCACATATATGTGTGAGCACTGTTGCATGATGTACACTCGTGTGGATGTGTGCATGTGGAAACAGAGGTTGGCATTGGGTACCTTCCTCTGTGTTTCTGCCATTTCTTTTTGAGACAGACTCTCACTGAACTTGAAGCTTGTCAGGGAGAGACCTCCCTGCCTCTGCTAAAACACCCTCCCTCCCCAAAGTACTGGGTACAGATGTGGCCTGACAGTGCGTAGCTCCTTAAATGGGTTCTGGGGATTTGAAAAGGTCCCCAGCTTTTTGTACAATTACCAACTGAGCCATCTTGCCATCTTTCCACCCTTGTTACTTTGTAAAAAAGAAGGCTGACTGCCAGGCAGGCACAGGCTTCCAGCAAAGTGACTGGCCTTGCTTTGCAGGACAGGAACTCTTGACTTCTCTTGAGAGGCGATCGGGGTTTGGTGATGGATTGATACTCAGCACAGCCACCCACCAGGTTAACTATACTCTGGCAGCTGTGACCTGCCATGCTGGACGGTGTTTTGAACATTCTAGAGTCCTTCCCTGCTCATACCCTTGTTAGCCTGTGTCTCCAAGCAGTTTTCATCCTGTGTTTCAAGCCTTCCCTCTCAGGTCATGTTTGCAGTGGAAGGCAGTTCTTTCCAGGCAGCTCAAGGGTATGCTCCTGAGGACTGCTGCCCTGCCAGGGCTCTGTAGGAACTGCCACCAGTAGCTGCAGTCTCCAAGCCTCTGAATGGAGAGCGCGCTTTCCCTTTGGGTCTTCGGATGCAGAGGCCGTCCTCAGCGGTTCCTTCCACCTGTCTCACTTGTCACCTGGGAAAGTGCACTAGACTCAGAACTAGAGCTCCCTCTGGGTGCTGTCTAGGGGTGTTGGGAACAGATGTAACCTTGAGGGAGGTGACACTTTGTTCTCTATTCAGGCTGGAATCATAGAGGAGATGTTAGAGGATACATTCGAAAGCATGGATGACCAGGAAGAAATGGAGGAAGCAGCAGAAATGGAGATCGACAGGATCCTCTTTGAAATCACAGCAGGTACGGCCAGGAGAGCCGGCATCCCTTCCCACCCTACCCTTCTTCTCACAGTCACCAACATGGGCTACATCTGCATTTCTCCTGTGTTGGAATATGCAAGGCATTTTTCAGGAATGTATGGTAAAGCAATATCCAGTTTTTAAGAAACAAAGGATTTTTAGTTTCTAATTTTCACATTAGTTGAAAACAGCTATTTAGGAATTTGAGTTAGTATAGACCCAACTTTAGCATGTCAAGCACTCTTCTTGCGTCACTCACCTAGAATACTGGATTACAGGCATGCACCCCACACCTGGTTCGTACTGGATTATAGACACCTGGCTAGCAATGTGGTGGTTTGGCTTTGTTTCCTGTGGCAGTAGGGATTGGGTCTGGGGTCTCACACACAAAACAAGGACTCCACTGCTGAGCTGTATTCCCAGCCTCTATTTTGAGATAGGGGCTCATTAAGTTGCTCCTGCTGGCCCTGAACTCACTCTAGTCTAAACCTTATTTTCTGTACTCCTGTCTCAGCTTCCTAGTGAGCTGAGATTAGAAGCCTGCGCCACCCAGGCTGGCTTCAACAATTAAACTTTATTCAGAGAAATTAAAATTTAGGTTTTTCAGTAGTATTTAGGAATTTAAAGTAGGATGTTGGTGGCGCACGCCTTTAATCCCAGCACTAGGGAGGCAGAGGCAGGTGGATCTCTGTGAGTTCGAGGCCAGCCTGGTCTACAAAGTGAGTTCCAGGACAGCCTCCAAAACAATTCAGAGAAACCCTGTCTCGAAAAACCAAAAAAAATAAAAAATAAAATAAAATCCTTAGGATTTTGGGTGGATGTGGTATTACTATTGTAGTAATAGCTACTTGGGAGATGGAGGTCAGATCTCTCAAGGGTAACATAACTAGTCTGTCTGTCCACCATCATAAGTCTGTCTGTCCCCTGGCATCATTCCCTCAGCTGGGATGTGCAGTGTCAGAGGAAGCAAGTTCCCACTCTAGACAGCAGCTCCACTGCCCCGTCCTGAGAGGAGGCTAGAAAGATGGAGGAACTTGTTCCATCTGCAGTGCTAAGCTGTCTTCTCTCTTCAGGAGCCTTGGGCAAAGCGCCCAGTAAAGTAACCGACGCCCTTCCTGAGCCTGAACCTTCAGGAGCAATGGCTGCCTCAGAAGAGGGAGAGGATGAGGATGAAGAGGACCTGGAGGCCATGCAGTCCCGACTGGCCACACTCCGAAGCTAGGGCCATCCAGTTGGGGCCTCATCTCTGGTGCCCTCCTCTAGGTGTGGGCACAGCCTCTGAGGAGTCACCATTTCCTGTATCTCTTGCACTACACCTCTGTTGTGAAGCGTTGCATTTTGGAGAGGGTTCTATGCTAGTGTATCTTCACTGTCTGCAGAGGTTTTAAGGATTGTTTTTATGAAGGTGGTATAATCAAATGCATTATTTTCAAGAACATAAATAGCAGAAGTATCTTTCTTGGGGGAGGGCGAAGAAACCCATTTTCTCATGAAGCAATTCTGAGAAGAGTCAATTGAATGTTGATGGCTCTCTACTGGTGTGTATGTGTAAAATACTGCATAAGTGGATGTCAATAAACTTCTACTTTAGCTCTTGGTGTCATTGTAAGTCACATGCAGTAGACTCAAGGTTGACCTCCCAGATGTCAGTGTTGGCCCTGGAAAGAGGAAGTGCCGTCGCCAGGCATCAGAGTGTGGGAGCTCAGCAGAAGTGCCTTCTGCTCGCTCGGGAGCTGCTGGTCCTCATCTGCACAGACAGGGTTGGGGCACTCTCGTGCAGTTGTCATCTGCTTAACCAGTGGATGTTGGGAATGCGCTGTACTGTTAGTCATTCCTCTGAATGGCAAGTGTTATGCAGAACAGACACCTCTGGGATCAAGACTCTTACCCCCATTCTTGCTTGGAGCCAAGTGTCTTGTACACAGGGACACAGCCTAACCATGAACAGCAAGAGCTAACCAGCAAGCAGCTTTGCTTAGGCATCGAAACATACACATCAGGCCATGCTTGAGATGCAGTTGCACTTCGTGACAGTTTGAAAAGCTCTTTGGCATGTGATGACCATGAAGTCATCACAAATGACACAGCAGTTTGCTGAAGTCATAAACACTAATGTACAATGGCCTGTGTCTATCATTACTGTGGTAGATGGCTTTGCAACCCCAAAACAACCCTATGTGCTCTGTTCGTCCCCTTTTCACTGATCCCATGGCATCCATTGGCCCGTCTGCTGTCTCCATGGGTTTTCCTTTTCCAGCCTTTCAGTCTGTCTTCCCTCATGTGGTAATGGGCATTTAAGTTTCCTCCATGTGGGTTCATGACTTGTTTAGCTCTCCTCACTGAGCAGCATTCTATTTTCTGGATGTACTTGTCCTGAAGGGCATATGGACTGCCTCTCATTTTGAAGCAATGTCCACAGCAGTTTTTCCTGTGCGTGAGTTTCTATTTCTGGGGGATACCAGGGAGCTCAACCATGGCATCATGTGGTCAGCATATACTTGGTGCTGTAAGAGGCCACGCCAGCCTTGCATAGCACACTGTCCACCTTGTAGGAGGAAGACTTTGCCATTCTGCATCCCTGGCAGCATTTGTCATGAGGGATTCCTGTTGTGTTGGTATCTTGTCAATCTGTAATCCCTGATGAATACTCTGGGCACCTGTTTTTTATACTTGCCTTCTCTGTATTTTGTTTGAAAATGCTGAAATAGTGGCCTTGAACTCATGACCTCTCTGCTCTACCACCATGCCCAGCTTGCCACCTGTATTTCTTTACTGTTGGTGTTTGTTCATTTTATAAACGGGATTGTCTTCTGATTATTCAGTTTTAAGGTCCTCTTACATATTTTGGACCAATTGTCTATCAGACTTCATCCTATTCTCCAGTCTGTTCTCTCATTGTTGACAGCTGCTCAAAGCTGAAGTTTTTTACTTTTAATAAAATCCTGCTTCTCAATTGTTTATTTGTATATCATGCCTTTGGTGTAAAAAAAAAAAAAAAAGAGTGTCACTACAGGGGATGTAGCTCAGTGGTAGAGTACTGGCCTGGCATGTACAAGGTCCTGGGTTCAATCCTCAAGTATGTACACAGATACATCAGTTTGTCTTGTTTTAGTTACATGTGTTTATTGTGGTGGGATGTATGTGAGCCACAGTGTACATTTGGAGGTCAGAAGACAACTTGTAGGAGTTGGTTCCCTTTCCACCATGTGGGCTCTAAAGATCAGACTCGGGTGGTCAGGCTTGGAGGTCAGCATGTTTTTTCACTGAGCCAGCTCACTGGCCCTTGTATCGTGTTTTATATTGAGGTTTTATATTGAATTCCAGTTCATTTTTATGAAGGATGTTAAAGTCAGTGTGTAGGTTTGATGGCTTTTTGCATGTGGATATGCAGTTGTTCAGGATCATTCATAGAAAAGGCTTTCTGCCAGTCTAATTATATATACTAATATAAGATCTATATTATGTATCTATGTGATGGTTATCTTATCTGCTTGGATTGAGAGACACCTCTGAACATTTCCAGAGAGAAGTGCCAAGGGGGAAGACCTACCTCTCATAGCCGGGGTCACATGCCGAATGAAAGGGAAAAATGGCAGCTCACTAGCCCTGGACTGCCTCTTGCTAAGCATGACTTCACTTGCTACCCGGGACAAAATGACCTGGAGGAATAGCTCACACACTGGACCATGGCCCTTAACAACCTGACACTCTTGTTTGCCCACCCCACATAAACTAAGAATCCAAACTAGATGCAGCTCCAAGGTTTTTCAGGGGCTACCCTGACGTTGGTCCACTGGTGACGTCTCATTGGTTCCAGAAAGATTCCCACAGGCTAAACTCTTAACCTCTAAGGGACTCATACTTAGACATATGGCAGTAGAGGCCACAGATGAAAAAGTATCTTTAAAGCCACCAAAGAGTAGGTAAAGGGATCTTCAGAAATATTTATACATATTTTAGGATCACAGACCACTGTGACCAGGAGACAGTAGGATAACATTTTTAGAATGTTTAAAAAAAAAAAAATCTATACAGCAAAACATCCCCTTCAGAATAAAGGAAAAACTAAATAGCTCCTGGAAAACAAAAGCTAAAGGTATTTGGTGTTTCTGCATCTCCCCTGCAAGAAATGGATAATCCTCAAGGCTAAAATGACACTAGATAGTAATTGCAGCTATACCAATTAAGAGAAAAGGTGGGGGATGGGGAGGAGAGGAGAGGGGGAGGGTGTACCGGAGCCTGTTGAAAAGGGAATAGGCCAGGCCAGTGGCATACACCCCAGAGGCCGCTGTGGTCCAATTAGAAGTTCCATGTCCACCGGAGCTATAGAGGACATGTCTCAAAAGGGGTGGGGTACTGCTGGGTACAGAGCTGTATGGAGTGACAAAAAAGCAGTATCAGTGTTAACTACACAAAATGGTACTCTTTTGTTCAAAGCAACACATCTTTAACATGTGTTTTGTGTGTATGTGTAGGCATTTGTGAAGGTCAAAGGACAATTTGCAGGGCTTGGTCTCTCCACTCACCAAATGGGTTCCAGGAATTGGATTCAGGTTGTCAGGTTTAAGCCACCTCACCAGCTCCTAGAGTGTGTACACTTTTTGACAATAGTCTATGCTCAGCCCATACTGGTAACGTCTCAAACAGGATGTGCAAAGCTGGATGGTGGCGGCACATGCTTTTAGTCCCAGGACTTTTGAGGAGACAGATGGATCGGGGTTTGAGGCCAGCCTTATCTATATACAGAACAAGTTCCAGAATGGACAGTCACACAGAGAAAGCCTGTCTTTAAAAAGAAAGCATGTTAACTTTCACTGTTTTATGCAGATACTCTACTATCAAGCTGGTCTTGCATGTGTTTACTTTTTTGTCCTTCTATGTTTAACATCTTGTTGCATTTGAACTTGCCAGTATTTCTCACCTGGATCTTCTGTGTATGCACCTGTATTGACTTGTAATTTTCTTTTTATACTTTGTGTATGAGACTGACATCAAATCCACAGGGCTTCTGAGAAGCTTGTCTGCTTTGTTAATGTCTTCTCCCTGGCGTTGGCTCTCACATTCTCTCCCTCTCACTGTACTGTCATAACTGCCACCTCCCATGAAACCTTTACCAGGCCATGGCTTCAGCCTCCAAAATTGAGCTAAATAACCCTGTTTTTATAAAGCACCCAGCTGAAGCTACAGCATTAGCCAACAGAGGATGAGCAGATGAGATAGCTCACATCGAATGCCAGCACTTGGTAGGCAGGGGTGGGTGGATGTGAGTTAGAGGCCGTCAACGCCATCCTTGGGAAGTAGAGAACAGGGTTAGTCAGCTTTGAGTCATTGCTGTTTTGGCAATTATTCTCTGATCGCTTTGTTTTTCTGGGTTATTTCTTTAAATATTTCCTGTCTCTTCACAAAAATAAGTAAATGGGTTTAGGCCTGTATGTATTCTAATTCTTAGCTGTATTTTACAAGCATTTTCCACAGATCAGAACATCGACTTAAGCTGCCACATTTTTGTGGCTTCTGAGTCTTGAGAGGCCTGGGTTAGTAGTGGAGCTCCAGCAAGTCCCTGTTCTACTGGGCCCCGAGAGACCTCCAGACAGAGACCTTCTACTGCTGGGCCTTGTACACCCACCAGGCGATCTCCAACATCTCTTACCTTTCGTCCGTAGAAGCAGAAGGTTGCCAATTAAAAAACAAAAACAAAAACAACAAAAACCAGTCTTCTTACTTTTAAATATCCATTATTATATCACTGATAATTATTTTGCCAAGTTTGGGGAAGTCTTCTCATATGTATGTCATGGCAAACCTTGGGTGTCAGTTTGGCTACAGCTGAAGTCAACTAAAACCCAAGTTGCTGGGCTGGCCTGTGAGAGATTTCTTTAATTAGACTATTTGAAGCAGGAAGGCCTTCCCTAAATCTGGGTCACACCTGCACTCTAGGCCTTGTCTACTTAACCACTGATGAACAAATTCCTTCTGCAGTTACAACAGCCCAAGAGAAGGACCACAGAGAGGACTCTTCTTCACCATTGTTGGCCCTTCAAGGAGATGGGGACTTTAGGTCTAACGGTCCTAACCCGCCCAACACTGCCTCTCCTCTTTAGTACACACAGGAACACAAGACAGACAACTTATTGCTCAGTTAGCAGTCACTATTTGGGTTTGGGTTAGTTCCAATCTCCAAATGCTATGGCTGTTCACAAAAGTGGGACAGATCAGTGCTGTTGTGAACATCTGAATTCTTTGCTTTTAGGAAAGGCTCCTGCACCAATAATTTAAACTTACATTTTCTAGAAGGTGTGCAAACACAGAAAAATGGAAGTGAACCAAGCCAAAGTATTATATGAATATTTTAATGCAAAATGCTTACCACTTAAAATTAGCAAAGCTTCATTTAAATTAAAATTCCATTAACTAAAGATGGTTAACCCCAAGAATTATACAGTAGTTATTTCTGCTATATAATGCCAGTCCTATGCAATACATTTAGAACTGCACCATTAGCTGTCATTTCCTCCATTGTTCTTCTGGACCCTAGTGGGTGGGGGAGGGTGCTCCAACTGACATAAAATAAAATAAAATAAAATCCCATT